GAGATTTGAGAAAACTTCACCATAGCTTAGATGAGCTTCACCACTGGCTTGTTTTTTAACCCATCTCAAGTGTATAGCCTATGGATGTTCACTTCTTGGACTCGTATTGGGCTTGAGTTTTAGATTCGTATTATCTATACTGAGCATTGTTCTTTGAGAGAGCTTGTATATTTTGACTGTTTATAGATTTTAGCCGAGATCTTAGGGTTGTCATTTAGAGGGGTAACAGGGTTGTTCATCATTGAGGTGGGGGATTAGGCAATATAGATTTTGGATAACTAAGCAATGGTGGTTGAGAAGCACAAGGTGGTGAGGCAGAGCGGTGACATTGTCGAGGTTGAAGCTGCTCACTCACCTTGTGGGATAGTGGTGGCCCACAATATGTACTCAAAGAACTGAGGGGGGTTGGAAAGACTCCAGATTAGAACTTGTTCCTGATCTTCTTGTTGATCCATGGTCAACAGATTTTGTTGATCCATGGCCACTAGATTAACTTGACTAATTTCCTATTTGATAGGATGGTGGAGGCGGCAATTGGTTCTTAGTTCATATCACAGGGGAATTGGCGATGAGGATCCTTGTGCATTTTGGGTGCTTATTAAACGAGATGTTAAATGTGGTCATCCCTACTATGAATGGACAAGAAGCAGGACAAGGCAATGTCTATTGGGGATGAGGTGGGACATTAGAGGAAGAAGAGGAAGCAAATGGTGGAGACTAAGGAGGAGGGCACTAAGGATGATGATGATGCCACTAGAGGAGAGGCTGCTACTTGCTCCTAGGTAGGGATACTACCGAGATGTGGCAAGCAATCAAGGAGGTGAAGGAGAGAGGAGAGGGCTGATTTGGAGTTAGAGATATTACATAGGGAACTATGAGCATCTATGAAGTAAGGAGAAGCCATCGAATCATTTCGTACCTCGCTATGGGTTAGGTTGTACAGAGGGTCTAGTTGGTAGAGAGTCCATCTTGCAAGCTTAACTGAATTGTGTGGGAAATACGTCATATCTTAGTTCTAGGTGAACTTATTATTTTTTGAAAACTTGTATTGACTCTCACTTACCACTTGTTTAGGATAAGTTCTTGGATGATTATTAATGAAAACATGCTATTTCTCCCATTTCACTGTATTGAATAATTCATACTTATTTCTTTACTATATTGTTTGTGATTTTGCTTTGTGTGGACATGGAAATTATGAACACTGCACTGAATCAAGGATCTCATGTTCACCGATGATATAGAAAGATAAGAAAACAAAACATAGTTTGGATCCTAGCTCTAGCTGTAACCACTCTCAACCTACTACACTCGCCTAACTTGTACTCGTAGCTTTCTCTCAACCTACTTGAAATGCCTCACTAATAAATTAAGAAATCCACCAAAATATATCATTGAATCTATCATAAAATTTCATCATCAAACATCATCCAACAATTCTACCAAAATCACTGATATATATCCCCAAATCTTGATTCATCCATCATGATCTATCAAATTTTGCATCTCACTCTTGTGTCCGTTACTAACTTCCCTGACTTGGTCATACTCTGCTCTATTCCTAGTGAACTCATTAGTACATTTTCTCAGATATACCCCTTAGGCTCAACCTACACTCTTTGAGGTTAGTACGACCAAATATCATCTGTCCACTGTGAACAAACAGTAAGACTCAAATAAACATAGTCTCTATGCATGTCAACTTATTCCATCCGACTTGGTAAGGGATCAGGATCAGCTAACTATATCCAACAGACATGATTACGATAAGGTTCGTTTGTTAAAACTTAGACTCAATACCATAAAAATCTTGGCATAGCTCGTGTCCTAGCTACAGATATGGGCACCTCCCTCAGCCGGTAGTATGTACACAAGAACCGAGTCAGTGGGCTCTAATACACATATTTAAGCCTCCTCTATCTAAAACTACTGCAAAACAAGGGTAAATAAGTAATTAAGCAACTAATGTTGGCTAAGTTAGTCAGAGCCAACTTCTGATCAAAGTATCTCTAAAGCGAGTGATGCACCTATAACTTAAAATGGTGAGGCATCTAAACTAAGAACTTAATCACAAGAGTAAAACCACATAGGTGCTACTCACCAACTACCTGTCAGGTGAAACTTTCAAATGCCCCAATCTGATCCATAACTTCTTCTTCTGAAACCTAGAGGAAGAAGGAAGAAAATAAATCTCAGGGTTGTCAGGCAATCGATCTATATATAACAAGCATCAAAAGAGAAAAGAAATGAAGACTAATGCAAATAGGGAGTATCCTGAAGGTGTACACTCACAAAGATTCTAAGACTAAGAATAGAAGAGAAAAGACAAGCCAAATAACGGGAAGGTATGCCAATGTCCAACATATTAAAATACATCCAAAAACAATTTGTAAAGCAAGCCAGAGCGGACAATAATTGAAAATTAGAAACTGACATCCAAACATGCATGCTTCTAGTCATTACTACCTTGAACTACTATGCAAAATACTTCATTCAAATCTCAACTGGATAAAATGCATGTCACAAACCACTTACTCGATCCAATCAAGATTCTCATAATTATCATCTTATTCAGAAAGACCATCATTATGAATATGTGAAAGTCATCTGGGATCTAATAGTTTTTTGTACCGACCAAATCCTCTCATACAGACTAATAAGTCTAACAAAAAAGAGCACAGCCTCACATATCTCTGAAGATTCAGTCCCCAAAATTAACCTAACAAATTACTATTTCTTAATTTGTTGTACATGAAATGTTATGCACTAGTCCCGAGTATATCAGTTCTTAGAAAATATACTTTCATGATACTTGATATCCGTCTAGATGATATCGACACTGTGTTCTATTAGAGTGCTCACTGCATCTAGGAGCTCAAAGAAAATAAAATCCCTTATCATGAATCTAAACACATTATCTCTTCTCATAAATCGCGTAAATGAAGAATTCTAAATGAGATCTAGTGTCTGTGAGTGGAAACCACAGATAAATTAGAAAGTCAAACGAATTAATGTTCAAAAAAGATTGTTTTGGGTTCTTGTGTATTGTAATTGATGCATATTACAATGAAAGAAATACAGTGAAATAAAGAAAATTTTATATTTCCTGGAGTTCGTTTCTGTGTGTTGGTGGAGCATCGATATTGTACTCCATTGACGTGTTGATTAAGACAATGGGTCTTTTGCTGTTGATAATAGTTGAATTGTTTGGAAGATAACTCAGCTTCCCTTATCATTATTTCCCAATGGAATCGCAAGTACGATGCATGTGCTGATTCTTCTGCCAAGCTTTTTATACCCCTTAAAATGGATGATCTCCTCACCTTTTTTAGGCTAAAAGTGAGAGTTAATGGACTCTTTAATTGTGGGTTAAGTGTACATTAAAGTGAGAGTTAGTGTGGAGCGGTTATCCCCGGAAAATAGCTATGAAACGACTATACGGGCGAACTTTGTGGACTTGGCAAGATTTGTTGAAGACGTGGGCGAAGGTCGCTACGGACATGGGTGCGCCTTCTTTTGAAGTTGATGCACTACTAGAAACATGACTTTTAGCGACGGACAAATCCGTCGCTAAAAGTAAAAAATATGTCGCTAAAACTTTTAGCGATGGAAAAAATAAAATTTCGTTGCCAAAATACCGTCCGTACATTGAGGGTAGCTAAAATTACTTTTAGCGACATATTTTCCATCGCTAAAAGTCAGCGACGGAAAATTAGCAACGAAAAATCCGTCGTGGTATTTTTTTTAAAAAAAATTCGTCGCTAAAAGGGTCTATAGCAACGGAAAATCCGTGGCTAAATATTTCTAATATTTTTAAAAAAATTATTTTGAAACTTTAAAAAATCTATACAATAATATAATAAATTTAAAACCTGTTCAATCAGCAGTATAATATTCATTCTCACACATATATAACACATATATTTTAATAAAAACATCCCAACATAATTAAAATTGTTTATACAACACACACCATGATAAATATTGTTTATACAATACACACTCATTATTTTCAAAGGTAAAATAACAAATCAGTCCTCCTGATCATCATCATCATCATCCTCATCACCAGCTCCACCTTATCTAGAAGTTCAAGCCTGCAAATATAAATCAAACGTTAACAACATGGCATGGCATGTAAGTATAACAATAAGAGAGTATCATGACATATTCTTAAGTATTATATGTTTCGGAGAGAGTATCATGGCATATTCTTATGTATTATACGCATGCACATATTCTTATGTAAAGATAGAAAAACTGAACAACAAATGGTTAATGCTCATTTCCTAACACACCACGCCGATATCAACCCCTAACTAATATACTAAATGTTTTGATACCACAGCGTATCGGCATAGCACCATAAACCCTACGGGGTAAAAAAAAAAGACATTCAACGAGTGCCTACTCCATTCTATATCCTGCCTAGCTCAATTACTTAACTAACAAGTTCCATCCAACACTTAATTAATATGCATAAAAAGAACCCATCCAACACTTAACAGTATCATAATGATATCTAACATAGCAAAAAATTAACAAGCAAAAGAGAATAACGATGTAAAATACCTTTTCACCGCTATCATTACCAACCACCCGAATCTCAAGTCCAACACAAGCAGCTTCAGGTGCAAGAGGAATTTCCTCATATTTCAGGAATTTAATTGCTTTAGGATCATAACGAAAGAAACCAAAGTGTTGCTTTTAACCCAATTATTTTACATGCATTTCCTCCCTCGATCACTTAAAACTTGAAACCTAGCGAATTAGTAATGCTTTTAACCACTGGCAACATTGCCGTAGAAATCAAAATCAAATGAAAGCACCAACAACAGAATGTTCAATCATCCTTAAAATAGACATCGACAACAAATTCGAGATCATCTCGGAATTAAAAAAATCCATTCTACCTAACAAAACTGACATGATATCTCAAAATTACTTCCATTTTACTTTTTTTTTAAAAAATTCCTGCTAGATTGGGAGAAGGAAATGACCTAGTCGCCCTCTCCAAAACCCAGCTTGGTATGGAGCCAGTGCATGCGCTTCGCGTTGTACTTGACAAATTACAATAAAGACCAGAAGCAAGCGATCAAAACTTGCACCAAAATAAAAAAAATAATAAAGAAAAAAGAGGCCGAGCGATGGAGAGCTGAGACCTGATCGTGTTATCGGTCCGCATACGGATCCAATGGGGAATGGGCATGTTCTGCCTCATCTTCTTCGCCAGCTTCTTCTTGATCACGAATGACTTGTGCGAAGACTGCAGCGAAATCAAAAAAGGATAAGAAACCCTGATTCACAAAATTAGGGAAGAAGTGTGATCGAGGGAGGTGTACCATTTTCGCTTTCAGACGATGGAGGTGGCGGGAACCCAAAAACCCCACCAAGCTTAAGCTCCTCCTAATCCTCCGGTGAGCCTCGACGGTGCCAACATCACCGGAGAAACCATCGATGAGGGATCGGAGGAGGGATTTGAGGAGGAAGGAGGAGATGAGAGGGAGGGAAGCGGAGGGGAGAGGGTGGGGGAGGAGAGGGGTTTGGGGGAAAATCCCTCTCTCGGGCGCGGGCTGTCCAAATTTTTTGGGCACGCCCGCGCCCAAATTTCTTTTTCCAATTTTCGGGTTTTAGCGACGGAATTTTCTTACAGAAAATTTCTGTCAGAAAATTAATGGCGATAATAGTTCATTTTCTAGCAGTGATGACTTGGTCCACTTAACATGGACGAAGTTCATTGGTTGGCGAGCTTTGCCTATGAGTTCGAATTTGACACAGAATTTAACTCTAGGTTTAACTCACCAATGACGCCTTTTACTCAGCCTGGGGCATGTTGTAGGAGTCGACTCGTGTTTTGACTTGGTCGAGTTGAGTCGATGTGGGCCATTAGGTGAGGTTTGCTTTAGTCATCAAGTGACATTAACTGCAGCTTGTTGTGGGCTTGACTTTAGGCTTATTCAAAGTGTTTAGCCCATGGGCGTTTACTTCTTAGATCCAAGCTGATCATTATCCTAAGTGAAAATAAGTTTTTACCATCTATAAGACCCCTCCTCCCTGCCCCCCCCCTCCCCCTCCAAGTTTTCAAGATCCTGCATTTCAATTTATAGCTAGGGTTGAAATGCTTTAGGTAAATAGTCAGGGGTGTAGTGTTGAACGTGGATTGAGGTGTCTTGATTAGGTGAAAACTTGTCTTCATTCGCCTACTTGGTCACCAAAGGTGTAATGTTAAACTTAGCTTCCTTTCTTGCAGACTTGTATCAAAAGATTGATGATGCTTGTACTTGTCCAAATCCATGCTTGGAACTAAATTCACCTTTTCTGTTGTTGAGGCGATGTTAAGAAATAAGCAAAGTTCGACTAATTCTGGGTATGAGCGAAGGTCGTTCAATTTTGGGCTACTGGGTGGAGTTTGTCGATTAGCAACGTTCTCTAGCTAGCAAGGCTCAAATTGTTTTGAACTGTGTTAGTGAAGTTCATCGTCTGGCAACGTTCGCTGGCTCACGAAGTTTGTTAAGATTCACCTCTAGATTTGTACCGTGATTTGTGGCTAAGATATCTTGATTGAAGATCTCGTGAGATCCGTTGTTGATTTCATCGAGTTTTAGGCTAAGATTTAGCCTCTTTGTCCGGTCCAATCAAATCTTAAAAGATGTGATTTTCTTGGGAGTTAGGATTGAAAAGGGCATTAAATAGTAGCCATCCGCATCTATTTTCATCGCCTCTATCTTCTTATTCTTCTTCCTCTCCATGTCTGCACCATTGTCGTCTAGACTATAGATGCTCCTCGACAGAGGAGCTAAAATCAAAAGACTCCAACAGAAGTTAGCGCAAATAAAGGTCAATCAAGCGGTTGAACTCCGCATACTCCATCATCTGGTAGAGTTGCTGTCAGCTGAGAAAGAGATGCTTGAGGAGATCATCAAGAATCAGTCGATGGCTTGGTGCAAGCTGGATCACGATAGATATGCGTGGAGCTTCGAGTGCCAAGCTCTACATAAGACTATTCTAAAATAGCACTTAAAGAAGGATCTTTAGATCTCCACGAACAAAGACTCTGACAGTAACTATGTGTCACGAACGTGAACCTAGATCATAATTAAACGCCGTATGGCTTACTCAGGCCTGAAGTCAAATTTTGGCTGCAGGAAATGCTTCTTCCCATGCAAGGGGGGACTTCTTGTTCAACTGTTCTCTTCTCATCTCTTGTCATAGGGTCTAGGAAGAAGTAAATAGGAGTTATTTTCTTTGAAATGGGAAAATACTTGAGTATGAGCTACAACTTGGTGCAGCTCGTGTCCATTCCTCAATCTTCACATTATCCATATTTTAGAAATATAGGGCAGTAGCATATAGCAACAAGTACCCTTCATCATTGTAATTGGGTAGTCTTGAATGTCAATTTCATGTTGTAGAGTCTTCGATCAATAAAAACAAACTTTCTTGAATGTTGAAATTATCCATATTTTAGTGTGTCATTGATCTGTGATGGCAAGCTTAGACTCTGCATGGCTTGATCTTTGCATGGAGTCATTGTGTTTAGAAGCGAAGCTTGAGCTTCCTTGTGCTGGCAAAAGTCAATTTGAAGTTTGCCAGATGAAGTCTCAAACAAATTTGAGCTGAAGTTTTTACTCAATTTGGAGACTTAGTAAATTTTGCCCAGTCATTTTGGCGAGGTTCACTATGTAAGGTCTCAAACAAATTAAGTTGTGATTTTCTCAACTTGGAGGCTTAGTGAAATTCACTATTTTGCTCTGGCGAGATTCGCCTTAGTGCCCTGTTGAATTGGGCAAGGTTCACTTACTTAAGAAACAGTCATCTGGGCAAAACTCAGTAAGTCGATTTAGGCGACGCTTAGTGCGTCAGCTTAGGAGAGGCTCAGTGACTCAGTTGGGCAAGGCTCAGCCTAAAGATATAAAACTCAAGTCTTCGGTTTGCGTGCCTAATATGGCAGTGAAGTTCATTCGAAGCGAGATTCCTGGTGAAGTATAAGGCTGGAATCTCTGCCGAAGTTCAAAACAAAATCTTCGGTGGAGCACGATAGTAAGATATTTAGCGGATTTTGATAGTAAAATATTTAGCAGATTTTGATAGTGAGATCTTTAGTAGGGTTTAGTAGCAAAATACTCGGTAAAGTTCAAGGTGAAGAATCTTCAGTGAAGTTTAGGGGTTTAATCTATAAATAGACTATTTGCCTCCTTCTTCTCCACTTTGATCTCAAAAATTCTCCACTTCTCTTTGAACCCTAGTTTTCTTAAAATCCACAAATTTCATCATTTATAGCTCCTCATCGTGCTATCTCTAGGGGAAGAGGCTCCGCATGAGGAGCTCGTCGGCTAAGGGCTGAAGAGTCGTCGGCGCGGTTGGAGATGGCTATGGGTAAGCTTCAAACTCATTAATGGAGAGCTTCGGCTCAGCCTAAACCTTAGCCCATTGGACTTTAAACAATGCCTCAAGGCATTTGGCAACTTGGTCCGCCGTTAAAGGCGATATTTATGACCACTTGTGGTCTCTCTGACGAACTTTTGTCGCTAGCGATGAAGTTCTATTAACAGCCATTAATGACACTCAATGTGACGAGCATCACTTCTCAGACTCGTTTGCCTTTTGGGCTTCTGCAGCGGACTTCGTTTGAGTAGAGTTCATTGCTCTATTTTAAGTGATTTTCGCTAGAGTGATGTTCGTTAATTTAGAAGACCTTCGCTCAAGCAAGATTCGCCTAGATGAAGTTTGCCAATTTGAACATATGAGTGAAGTTCATTGTTCTTAGTTGAACTTAGCTTCATCTTGTCAAGACTTAGTTGATATAGATGGTCTTCACTTATGAGCGAGGTTTTGCCTTAGCTCTTGAGTATGACGGCTAATTGTTTAATCAGAGTGTTTGGTAAGATTGTTCAACTAGAGAGTCTAGTAAGATTGTTCAACCGGAGTGTCACGGCTGTCTTGAACTTGCAGAGAGGGTTATCTACCCGCCCTTTCAAATTATTGAGAGATCAGCTAGATGCTTTGACATTAGTTGTCACTTCTACCCACACTGAACCTTTCAAGATGGTGATTGACAAAGCTAAATTCTATTACTGAGGGTTACATGGACTTTGCATGCGTGATCCTGATAATATTGTTGAGGTTGAATTTCGTTGCTTGCTAGCAATTCATAGTAAGGCTGATGAATCTGCCCGTGAAGAGATAGAGTGGATCAGTGTGACAGTCCAAAGTTTGAACGATAGAATTGCATCAATTGACAGTCACCACATAGAGCTTCAATGTGTTATCCAAGAAAAGAATATGACAATCAATGAGGCTAAGGAAACAATCATTGCAGCTCATGCACGTCTGGAGGCAGGTCAACACCAGAATGAGGATGTTGAGCTTAATCTAGTCGAGTTGACCAAGAAGTGGGACTCTCAAGTTGCGAAACTTCAAGCTAAAACGAAGAGGCTCTCGTCCATCAGGTCTCAAGCTGCTCCCATTGACTCTAGGATCTTGAAGGAGAAGGCTTAGAAAGTTGCTCATGAGGTTAGGGACTCTAGGATGGCTGAGTGTATTGCACAAATACACACTTTTTATCTGCTTTCCCTGTAAAAACCTTTTGTAACTACTTAGAACTTTTGAAAATAAAGGAACTTATTATCTCCTTTGATGTGTGTATGATAGGGGTGTAATATTATTGTATCTTAGTGACATCTTTGCTGGGGAGAATGATGTTGGATCAAACTGGTATAGGTGTAGTGTTAATATTATAGTTTGATCAAGCTGACACTGTCTAGACGTGTAATGTTAACATGATAGTATGAGGATATTTGATAGATGTGTAATGTGAACCAGTCAAATATGATGACCGACAAAGGTATAATGTTAACTGGTCTGTTCAAAGGAGTCCAAAGGATGACTACCATTTGGAAGTGGAGTGTTAACGGTAGAAAATCGATGGAAGTATAATGTTAACTAATCAATTTATTATAAGAGTGAATTGATAGAGGTGTAGTATTAACTGGTCAAATTTGCTAAAATAGGTCGATAGAGGTGTAGTATTAACTGGTCAAATTTGCTAAAATAGGTCGATAGAGGTGTAATGTTTATTGGTCGATGAAATGATCTGACTGAGGTATAATGTTAACCAATCAGATCATTTGAAATGAGAAACCATTCAGATGTGTAATGTTAACATGGTGGTTTGGTCAAGTGAGTATTGTTCAGAGGTGTAATATTAACATGACAGTATAATGATATATTTTGAGTCGACAC